GTGGCATGGATGCCTGGTAGTCAGTTACTCTGAGGCTGGACGCGGTGGAGAAGGAACTCACCCTGAGCCAAGAAATGTCAAGTCGTACCATTGATTGCAACCACTGACTCGAGCCTGGAGCAACAGAGCTGAGACCCTGTCAAAAAAAAAAGGAAGAAAAAAGAAAAAGCAATTACGGACTCAGATCGAATGTTTGCAATATTTACCAAGCAATTAATAAGTATCCAGGACTATAAGAACGCCCTACACATTACAAGGAAAAAACATCAACACCCATCCGCCGCACTCGGCGGAAAAGGAATATTATAGTAAACATTCATCAATTTGTATTTTCCGACCGCCCCCTTATAATGTGATACTTTCCAGGGGGGCGCAGTAGGCACAGATTTCATTTAATTCCTTCATCTTCTTCCCCGGCCCCCCAGGTGGTAGTGGGGGGGGTGGCCATGTGCCATAGTATCATCCACCTGGGCCATTCTTCCAGAACATTGAGTCTTGAGTGGGTATTGGCGGTGCCAAATTTTATAGAAATAGTTTGGAATGGTCATGTGTAAGATTCTTTTTTTTTTTTTTTTTGGAGATGGAGTCTTGGCTTCTGTTCACCAGGGCTGGAGACTGCATTGCGGACTGGCGCCGATCTCGGGGCTCACTGTTAACCTCCGCCTTTCGGGGTTCATCATTCTTTCCTGCGTCCAGCCTCCCGGAGGTAGCTGGACTACAGGCGCAGGCCACGTACGCCCGGCTTATTTTTGTAATTTTTTTGTAAAGATGGGGTTTCACGGTGTTTAGGCCAGGGATGGTCTCAGGTCCTCCTGACTCGTGATCCGCCTAGGCCTTCCCAAAGTGGCTGGGGCTTACAAGTGTTGAGCACTGCGGCCCCGGTATGTTTTTATTTTTTGAATGGAGTTATAACTCTGTCGCCAGGCTGGGAGTGCAGTGGGTCATCTCGGCTCCTGCAACCTTCCGCCTCCTGGTTCACTCCATTCTTCCTGCCTCCGGGGGTTCACCTCATTTTCCTGCCTCAGCCTCCGAGTAGCTGGGCCACCACGCCCAACTAATTTTTGTATTTCTTGCAGAGACAGGGTTGTTGCCCGGGCTGGTCTCGAACTCCTGAGCTCAAGTGATCTGCCTGCCTCAGCCTCCCAAAGTACTGGGATTACAGGCGTGAGCCACTGCACCTGGCCTCTCTTTTTTTTTTCTTACCATTTTTTTTGTTGTTGAAGAAAGCATAAGTTGGCTGTAAAAGCTTCCGCCTTCTGGATCTGACGGCATGCATGCCTGTGCGGCTGTTCCCCTCCCACTGCATTTCCAATAAGCTGGTAGGTAGTGCTAATCAGATTCTGTTCAAGGTTCTGTGACAACATTGCCCAGGCGTTACTGTGGCATCCCTACTGCATCACAATAGTAAGTACATAGTGTCTGCAAATGTACAAAACCTGACCTCCTCCTTCCTGATCTTTTTATCCTGATTTTCTTCTCAGGATCGACCTTCAGAACTACTGTGACAATGCGTTCCTTCTCTTCATCCTGTGTTTAGTGGAAATGTTTATCATCTCTCTCCATTAAGGGTGATGGCAGGCGTGGGGGGTTGAGATACACCTACGGGTCGCTCCTGCTGGGCAGAGGTGAGGTGCGACTTGCTCCCATCCTCAGTTCCAGGTGCGCTCTCGGCATCTGTATGTTCAAGGCCTTTCCTCATTTTCATGTTTCCTCTTCATCCTTGTTGCACCCTCGAATTCCCCTCCCTTCCTTAAGAACCCACTTGAGGCTGGGCGCAGTGACTCATGCCTGTAATCTCAGCACATTAGGAGGCCAAGGTGGGAGGATCACCTGAGGCCAGGAGTTCGAGACCAGCCTGGACATCATGTCAAAACCTCATCCCTACTAAAAATACAAAATTAGCCGGGCGTGGTGGCGGGTGCCTGTAAACCCAGCTACTCAGGAGCCTGAGGCAGGAGAATCACTTGAACCCAGGAGGCAGAGGTTGCAGTGAGCCAAGATCACGCCATTGCACTCCAGCCTAGGCGATAAGAGTAAAACTCTGTCTCGAAAAAAAAAAAAAAAAAGTCCATTTGAATAGGTTTGATGTACGTCCTTGAAAATAGCTGGATCCTGGAAAATTATGAAGTGGAGTTATGTACATAGGCTTTTGACTTTAATCAATGTTGTGTTCTAGACTGCATTCTGTTTTCTACTTCTCATTTAATGCTGGTATTAGGTCTATTAATGTTTTTGTGTGTATATCTAGTCACTGGTTTGTTTGTTGTGTTTTTTTTTTTTTTTTTGAGACGGAGTCTCACTCAATCTGTCACCCATCCTGGAGTACTCTGCCTCGGCCTCCCAAGTAGCTGGGACTATAGGCTCCTGCCACCACACCCAGCTGACTTTTTGTATTTTTAGTAGAGACAGGGTTTCCCCATGTTGGTCAGGCTGGTCTCGAACTCCCGACCTCAGGTGATCCACCCGCCTCGGCCTCCCAAAGTGCTGGGATTAGAGGTGAAAGCCACCGGGCCCAGCCCTAGTCACCGTCCTAAATGCTAGATAGTAGCCCATCAGACATGTTTCCCACATTCTGCTCTCAGTAGGCTCCCAGGTTGCCTCCAGCTCCTTGTTACCCAAACAGCACTGCAGTGAATATTTTCACAGTGTCCCATAA